AGCAATAAGACAAGAAAAGGGGATCAAAGGGATACAAATTGGAAAGGATGAAGTCAAGCTTTCACTATTTGCAGACGACATGATAGTCTACATTAGTGACCCGAAAAACTCTACCAGGGAACTCCTACGGCTGATAAACACCTTCAGCAAGGTAACAGGATACAAAATTAACTCAAAAAAATCAGTAGCCCTACTATATACAGATGATAAATCCAATGAGAAAGAAATCAGGGAAACATCACCTTTCACAATATCCACAAGCAACTTAAAATATCTTGGGTTAACACTAACCAAAAAAGTGAAAGACCTGTACAATAAGAACTTCGAGACTTTAAAGAAAGAAATTAAAGAAGATACCAGAAAATGGAAAGATCTCCCATGCTCTTGGATAGGTAGAATTAACATAGTAAAAATGGCAATCCTGACAAAAGCAATCTACAGATTCAATGCAATCCCCATCATGATATAATTTATTCACAGGTTTTTAGTTCCAAAGTCAGAATTGTTACTATGCATTTTTCTCCCACACATCACATCTCTCTATTCATGTCTCCAGGTACACTTATGCTATATTTTCTTTCACTTTCCTCATCCCATAAAAGCTGTCCAAGTATCTTCATTCTTCCCCTTGGCACTGATCTGATATATGCAAATATTACTGTAATACTGTCCCTCTTGCCTGTCATAGTTTGGAAGACTGAGAAAAAACTGTCTCCATCACAGACAAAATGCTACCCTCCCTCTCATTTTTCTACCCTCTGTGACTAAGATCCACTGAACTCACTGTCTCAGCATATTAGTTGAGGTGTTTTAAGAAGAAAGCAACATCTGACTTGGTAAACAGAGATAAACAACAACAAAAATCTTTCCAGTGTTTGTGGGCATGACCCAGTCTGTTGAGAACATGACTAGAACAGAAGGGTGAAGGAACAGCAAACTGAAAGTAGAACATACAACTTTTGTGTGAAGAATATAGTATGGTGAGGGAATGAGGATAATTTGATTAAAATGCAACAATCATATATGAAACTTCAAACAATAATTTTTCATCACATGATATGGCAGAGTCAAGGCTGACCCTGGAAGAATTGTCTGTGTGTCTCAATCTGCAGAGAATGGTCCTTAGATTAACCTGACTAGTTCACTGCAATTATGAACACACCTCCCTTATTCTCAGAAGTATCTTAGTTTGGATAATAAATGACATGGCCACCTTAATCAAGAGACAGGTCAATGGAAGTCATTATGGACCTGCACACTGAGTGCTTGGAACTAAGCTGAAGGACAGCTCGGGGCAGATGCTGCTGTGGTATTTGAGTGAGCATGACAGAGTGGTTGCCATGGCAGACAAGCAATAGAGAGTCTGGGAACTGTCCACAGAACATAAGGGAACTGTGGGATGCATTCCATCATCTCGAGCTACTCAGGCATCTTCATAGCCCCACAGGGAAATCGGTCTTCCATCATTGTATAGCTAACACTCTTTGAAGAGCTATGCAAAGTTCTTCATGTCAGTTATCTTAAAAAAAGAAAGAGAGAAAATTCTCATAAACATGCTAAGTGGCCCACAGTATAACTATTCTAATTTACAAAGGAAAACGAAAGCTCCTAAAAACTGAGTTAAAGACCCACCTTAATTTTTTTTGTCATCCCAAGCGATTTACTCAAACAGTCTAATTTAGATATGTTTACATGATGCTGTCTTGCCCAACTTTGACTATGGTTAAATCAGAAGTGTGACTGCTCTCTAGTAAAAGTGACAGTAAAAGGGACAAAGAAATAATGATGAGATAGAGGGTTCATTTCATAAAAGGAAAGAGAATATTGCATAATGCAACACTGTAGAATTGGAACAATCTTGTAAAGAGATATGAAAGAGAGAAAGAAATAATGGAGGAAGAAAACAAGAGGAAGAAAGAACTCAGTTTCAATATGCAGTTGCCCTCCAATGTAAAAACAAAACAAAAAAAATCACATTTGTTTATCACCTAATGAAAAATGGCACTTGACTTAAGGCCACAGTAAGACAGCAAAAAAAAAAAAAAAAAAAAAAAAAAAAAAAAAAAAAAAAAAGAGCCATACATCATCCACCCTGCTGTAATTTCTTCAGGAAAGGAGAAATGGAAAGAATAGAGAAGAATAAAAGCCACCAGAAAAAATACAGAATTGGGACAGGATCTTAAAAACGGAGGTTTAAGGTTTAATCTTTATATTGGAGTCTTAAGAGTTTACTACTTCAAAATGTGGTCCTTACAATGCAGCATCACTCAAGAGCTCCTCACAAAGCAGCATCACCCAGGAGCTCCTCACAATGAAGCATTACCCTAGAACTTACAAAGCAGCATTCTAGGCTCCCAGCCCAGCGTTACTGAGTCAGACCTACAATTTGAGCAGGTCCTTAGGGACCCACATAATTTTAAAGTTCAAGAAGTCACATTTTTTAATGTGATTGCTTTCCATGCCTAATGAGACCAGGTTCTCTTAAGGAGAAAATTCAAAGCTTAGCTTCAGATAGACTTGTATTTCAGTCACTGTTCAACTCTCCGGTTGTATGATCAGGACCAAAAGACTCCATTTTCATGAGTCCCGATGTTCGAATCATTAGAATGAGGGATATAAGAACCATCTTCCAGGTTTGTTTGGGAATGTCAAATAATGTACAACAGTACTCCCTTTGTTTGGTTATTCACATATCCCAATTCAGACACCTCTGCTACAAAGCTGGGTGGCATTGTCTATTTTCTAAACTTTGCAAAATATGATTGAATATTATCTAGAGTAACACTCTAAGTTTTATTTTCTCAAGACAACAAGGCAATTTAGGAAATTGCCTTATAAGCTGTTCTTTTACATTTCTATATTTTCTCACGCTGAGCTGGTGGTTGAGAAAAGCACCACCTACACAAAGGCAGATAGATACATTATGCACAGATATGACGGCTCTTGCTTGTATTAAACTAACATAAACTGAGAAGTTGCTAGTGGCCTGCATTATGGTATACTACAAATATAACATTATCACTAACTACAACTATTAATAACTACTTTATAGATCTTCTCTTGGACTGAGTGATAGACTTTTACTCCACATCACCAAAAAGGAAAGTAAGTCCAGAAAACATCAGATGTGTTGTGGGTGGTCCCATGTGGTAAGTAGCACACACATCTTTTGGTCTTTTCACTGATGACATTGCCCTTAAAAGGTGGTATCTTGTCTCTCTCTAGGCAGGATTAAGTTATGGGGGCCTCTGTGGATTCCCTTTCAAGGTACATGGTGACCTAGAGCCCCTATGCAAAAAATTAAAGGCATACAAAGCAAGTTGGCCTTACCCTGGGATCTGGCTTAGGCTGCTATCTTTTCCTTCTTGAAACATTGTCATGCCACACACAGTCTTATGAATCTCAAGCCTTTGGCCACTTTGACCTTTTCCACACTTCTCTGATTAAACTCACTTCCTGCCTAGGAGGTCTGTGGTCTTCTCTTGCTGTTTAATCGGAACTTACTCAGCTGTAAGCAACATAAATGCAGATCAAATGGCGAAGAATCATGGGTTCAAAGAATAGAGAAGTCAAGGAACAAAACTGACTTCCAAACTAGATGGACCCACAGACCCCGTACCATTTTAGAACACTCTCTGTCTCTCTCTCTGTCTCTCTCTCTCTCTCTCTCTCTCTCTCTCTCTCTCTCTCTCTCTCTCTCTTGATTTTTCAAGACAGGGTTTACAAAATAATATTTGTAGGACACATTTCAACAATAGAAATGATCTTGCCTACTTTTATAAGTGACTAGTTTTAAATTGGATGCTTAAGCATATATGCTAGATGCATTTTTACTGACTTTCCAGCTAAGTTTATTTATATTGGGCAGTAGGATTTTTTCTAAGTACTCCATTGCTGAAAAACTTGGTGGGGTTGGGGTGGGGGAACCTCTCACATCTTACCAGAGAATAGTTTACCAAATACTTGGAAAAGTAAAAATATCAGGTATTGTGTTAGCACACTGAAATTCTGAAGTAATTATGAAATAAAATAACTCATCTATATATAGTTGTGCCTTTTCTCCCAGATATGAAAATTATTATTTACATTTTAATTCATTGCTCTATAGTAATCAATTTATATCATGAATAAAGTTTTGAAAGCAAATTAGGGGAAGGGGAATTAAAAGTGGGCAAAGAGATTAAAAGAGTAACACCTGGGGTTTTAGGGTTAAAAATCCTTTTTTGTGTTTTTGTTGTTGCTGTTATTTTGTTTGTTTGTTTGTTTGTTTTTCCAGACAGGGTTTCTCTGTATAGCTTTAGAGCCTATCCTGGAACTCACTCTGTAGACCAGGCTGGCCTCAAACTCACAGAGATCCACCTGCCTCTGCTTCCCAAGTGCTGGGACTAAAGGTGTGCGCCACCACCGCCCAGCAGGATTATAAATCTTAAACACATTAAGAAAGGCCTTCCTGATACACCCCATTGATTAAAGTCCCATCACCTTTCACAACCCCTCTTGACTTCCTCAGAAAAGCCCTTCAAATGTAGTTTCTGAGAGGCCTTTACTCACAACCAACTCTGTTTTCTATTTTTATTTTTTCTAGTTTTATTGTTTTTAACACACTTATTATTTAACTGGTTCAACTATTCCCTGTGGATTAGAAGTTCCAAAGCAGTTGTCTGTAGGTAGACTTTGGGGGGCGGGGGCTCCAGCTCACAAAGAATGATATGGAGACTTATTATTAATTATGGAAGCTAAGCCAATAGCTCAGGCTTTTTCGTTGTTGTTGTTAGCCCATTTCTATTTATCCATGTACTGCCCCAAGACTCAGTTACCTCATCTATGTACTGCTCATGCTGCTGCTTCTGCATCGGGCTGGTGACTCTGCCCTTCTTCCCAGCATTCTCTCTGACCTGAAAATCCTGCAAAGCTATTGGTTTTTAGCTTGTTATTGAACCAATCACAGTGACATATCTTCACACACTGTATAGGATATATTCCACAATAGTTGTTCATTGTGTTTCCCACTGTATTCCTTCCTTCTTGGCAGTGGATGGTGTTATTGAATACCATCAAGAGCAGCTGTCGTGGTATGGGCGATCTTCAGATGGTATTGATAACCATATATAACAGCTTAAAACAGAAAATATCTTCAGTCTTCTACATTAATTAATTAATTAATTATTACCATCGTCATCACTGTTGTCAATTCAGGCTGACATGGAACTTGCTTGTGACCCAATCTGCCTTCAAATGCACCATCCTCCTGAATTCTGGGATCAGTGTGCACGACCAGGCCTAGCTACAGTCTTTTCCTTCTTTCTGTTTATTGTTTGTTTGTTTTTTTTAATTTTAAGGGTTAATTTAAAAACTAGAGACCAGTGAGAATTTTTGTAAGTTTCCCAACCTACAAAGCTCTGACTTCATTATTTACTGTGACCTTGAACACCAACAAGTGTCTTTGGGCAGAAACAGTGTCTCTTCTACCAGTGGCTAGCTCACTGTGGGCTGATTCTTTAGATACACTTATATGCTTATTTAATTTTTAAAGATTAATCTATCTTCATTTTATGTGTATGAATGTTTTACCTGACTGT